TTATTTTTTTTTAGTCTCAAATTACCTGATCAACATAAAATACGTAAACCGACAACGCACACCCAAAATAAGGCAACACAACATCGAGTTCACAATAATTCAAATTATAATAGATCAAACAGTTATTCATGCATACGGAACCACAGAATAAACAATTAGATACTATATTGCATTTAGGCTGTAAAATACATCAAACAGAAACAGATCAACAAATACATCAGGTTCGGGCCCCATTAGCAATTTTAATTAATTATACATATCTATTAATTTATAAAATACTTTTTTATCATTTATTAAGCTTTAATACCGTGATAGGAAATAGGGTGAGGGATTCTTACTCGTTTCGGAGTCTGAAATCGGGTTCTCACTGCGCCTACGGTCCCTAGTTCCCTGAATTTTTTTTCAGAAACTGAAACACACTTTTGGTACCTGCACATGTTCCCAAAAAACCCCAAATCAGACCCAGGGCCCTTTCGGCCAATTTCGGAACTCCGACACGGCGGCTCCGCCGTGCTCCGGCGACGGCGCCACCGCCCAGGGCAGCGATCCGCCTCGGGTTGGCCGTTTTTGGCCGAATTCGGCCAAACTTGCATTGGTTCCTGTGATAAAACACCCCTAGGGCCCTCGTTGGGCTAAAAAATTTCAGAAAACCGAGACTTACCGGCGGCTCATCCTGCGTGAGTTGCGATTCGGTGTTTTGCTCTGGTCAACTTGTAGAGAAAAGGACGGTGGTCACAGTCGTATAAAAATTATATCGAATGGGAAACGGGAAAGACCTCATCGGAGGCAAAAATCAAGAAAACCCGCAGCGGCGCCGCTGGACTTCGGCAGTGTTTTCTGGCCAATCGGCTGGTAGTTTGGCTCTGATTTGGCCACAGGGAGATTCGACATCGAAAAACGAGCCAAGGAGAGAAATTTTACCTCGTTTGGCGGCCGAAAAGTCCTTTGGTGCGGCGGCGGGTTCCTCCAGTGGTTGGGTCGTCTTTTCCGGCGAGGGTTCTGGCGACTAGGGTTTGGGGTTGGGTGTGGATGCGATTATTTATAACCTTCCCTTTTTAATCTGAGCCGTCCGATCGCAATTAAATTGAAAATAAATCTGGGCCGTCCATCGCGATGTGATCTGGGCCGTCCGTGCGCGATCAAATCTGGACTGTCTGCACTCGTGAGATCTGGGCCGTCCACACACGCCTTTGATCTGGGCCGTCAGCGTGCGTGGGACCGGATCTGGGCCGTCCGATCGCGCGCACGCGGATCGCCCACGTGTCTCCGTCCCGCGTGGCTTCCCACATCAGCGTCCCTGCCACGCGGCGTGTCTTAATTGGCCGGGGCTGCTGACCGGGCTGCTGACGTGACATTATTTTTCTAAATTATGTTTTGACTCCCCGGGTTTTCGATTTTCTTTTCAAAAACACCCATAGAATTCAAAATTTCACCCATTTTTTTCAAAATCAATTTCAATTAAATCCAAAAAATAATGTTACCCTATTTTATTATTATTATTGTTATTATTTTTATTTCTATTAAATTAAAATTTTATAAATTGAATATTAAAATAAAATAAAATAAAACAAAATTTCAATAAAAATTAAAATAAAATAAAAATAAAAATAAAATAAAATGAAAATTTTGGGTGTTACACATCACATATTTTTATGCAATGCAAGGCATCCAGAAATAGGTTTTTATTCTGCATAATTTATTGCTTCTCCTCAGAACTATGTTGCAATAATTAGTATCCTATATGTTTAAGCATATGAATCTCTGGTTTGGTTCATTTTCTACTTTTTACATGTTTGAAAATTTTGTTTTATTATTATTGTTTTCAGTTGGCTGATGTATGGTCATGTGGAGTGACTCTGTATGTTATGCTAGTGGGTGCGTACCCTTTGA